TGCACTCACAAAATTGGTTGGTAAATTCAACGAGTGGGTGCATCGACCTGGTATATCAAGTTTCTGCAATTTTTTACGGCAAATCAGTAGATTTTCGGGATGTAGATTGCTTACTTTCAATTCATGAATGAATAAAGCAACGACATGGTTGAACTTCTTTGCATGGAAAGACGTTTAAAATAACAAAATCAAGACGTATTTAATGCAATTGCATTTATATCGAGTCAATTTCTTTTCAATAATATAACGGGATTTTTACTACCGGTGATTTGGGTATTTTAGCCCCAAAATACCTTTAAATCGACTTTATCTTCTAGGAGTTCGACAGAATTTTTCCTTTCTTCGCTTAAATTATTCCGTAGCACTTTTCTTCAAGAATCTGATAAGATTTTGCTTGAGGCAGATCAAAAAACTTAAATTCGATCGAATAGCTTTCTACTTTCACAATACACGGTCTCGTCAAGGTGCGTCTTTGACCTCGCAGTGTTGGATCGTGAATTCTCTTTTTATGCTGTTTGCCTATTTTGAAATCTCTGTAAATGAAAACTAAAGGGGTTGATATGTGCGAGTTAATGACGCGCCTTATCAACACATTGTGTTGGAGTTCACTGCTTGTTTTTGATATTACATCAGAATTCCGGGAGGACTACGGATCTGGATCTACTGAAAAAAGGAAAATGTTATTTTTATCCCAATCCGTCTACCTTCTTTCCCTCCCACTTTTCAAAGAGGAGTTGTATAGCTTAATTTTGGTTGACTCTTATTTTTTCAAGAAGGCAGTGGAGCTCTTGCATGCTCTGGGATTTACGATTCACGTAATTCTCTGCGATAAAAATTTACAAGAAAAACGATGTTGCCCCTGGTTTTCTCTATAACGAACTCCCAAGATCACCCATAGCTGGCGTGTTCATCTTAGTCATTTCAGGACGGGGACTGCGGAAATGAAGAGGGAATCAACCAGAAGAAATCGGAATTTCATCGTTTTGAAGCCTACCTAGCTTCCTTTAAGAGTAGGAGGGTTGTTGCCCTGATTATAATGGTAAAATATCCTGCACAAGTTTTGGAATCTATCAAAATGTAGCAAAAGTAGAGCTCCCCATATCCATTCTGAAGGGAACAGGGAGAAAAGGGCCTTCAGAGAAATGAAATCGAAGAATTCGTGGAAATTACTCCTGGCATTCAGTCTGAATAAATTGCTACGCGGCAAGCACGTAAGGGTCAGTAGCTAATAAAATAAAAGAAGAGGGGATCTCGTAGGTGAGTGGTTAAGAGATTAGGTGACAGAAAAATGACTAATTCTAGGAAAGAAAAAGCTCATTGCCTGCTCGAGGACAACTTGAAGAAACGTCTCGTCGTATCAATACGCACACAAAAACACTAGCAGGAGCTCTAAGAAAACTCCTGGGAAAAAGGAGAATACTAAATAAAATAGCTCACTGCAACCTTGGTTGCGTCATCGTCCTTTGAAGGATGGTTCGAGAGGATCCCAACGCCACCCGCTTCTCACCGGTGACAAACTTGACGAGATGGTTGAACGGGAGCTGGAGATGGTAGTAGGCGCAGTAGGGAAGAGGATCCCAGTAGGCAAATAGCGCCTCGCGCTTGTCGAGAACAGTGCCGAGAAGCCGGACCACGGACAGAAGTCCGGGTTGCCGAATTGTGTTGAACACGGTCTCGTGCATCCAATACCTGCCGGAGTTGAGGACGAGCGGTCCGGAGACTTGTCGATTGAAGTGCCGACACGGCTTCCACACGATCCGCGTGTGCACACTCGTGTAGCAGATGTATGGGAGGCTCACGCCAACACGGCAGCCCACGGGGACGATAGAACCGCTAACCGAGGACACGACGAAGCGGAAGCTGATGTGCCCCGTGATCGGACGGAGGAACCGTAGCTTGTTGAAGAACTGCTGAAGCCACTGATTGATCTCGGCGTGCTCCAGGGGCACCAGGCCCCCGTCGGCACGATCCACGCGACACGTCACATTAGCGACGACGACCGAGTCCTCGACCGTGGTGCACGTCACGAACCGTTCTCCTGGATAATCTTGAACGATCAACCAAGGGCGCTGCTCCGTCACCAAGTGTGAGACCCGGAAGTCTTTCCTCGAATTGGGGACGTTGAGTTTAATTCGCTCTCGACAGCCCTGGACGCCGATGCTCACCATGTAGTGTCGCCCTGAGCGGAGGGTCCCATTCTCGTAGAGCCGGATGATGTCGTCTTTGCAGGCAATCGGGTAGAAGTTGGGCGTGGCCATCCCTTCCGAGCGGCACTTCTTGAGCACTTCGTGGGTGTCGTCGAGCGTGCACACCTCCTTGAGCCCCGGGCAGAAGCAGGTGCACTTCATGGCCTCCAGCTGGGGTTTGAGAAGGGCGTCGTAGTAGGCCGTGTTAGAGGCGCTCACCGGTATGTACCAAGATACTTTCTCCTTTTCCACGATCCTGCGCACAGCTTCGACATACTCCTCGCCGCGCTCCCCACTCGGCCTCGGGAGCGTGTAGAAGCGGTGGACGGCCGTGGAGAAGCGGGCCAGGCCGAAGAGACCGGACACTTCGCAGACGACAACCCGAGCGCCGGCTGAATAAAAGTTGCGCGCCAGGTGGAGGGCTTGAATACTGCTCCCGCCGCTTATGAGAACGGTCCGTTTCTTGCGGGCGCGCTCCGACGCGGAGGTGAACATCACGGTTAAGATCCACTTCACAATCGCGAGGGGAATGGAGATGCACTTGCACCAGAACCATAGCACACACGAAATCCAGAGTGTCGGACCGATGAGGAAAACTTGGCTCCAGATCAGGTAGATCACCGTCGCGGCGAGGTTTCGGAGGAAAACGAAGAACCGCACCGGGAGGGATCCGAAGATGCAGCCCAAGAGGGAGCGATTGTCGGCTATGGGTGGCGGTGACGGAGACTGGATTCGCCGGTCCAGAAGGAACACGGAGGAAGAGTTGGAGCGTCGCAGAGTTTTGAAGGGATGCGGAGATGCGATTGGAGAAAATGACGGCGGGGAGCTGCTTGGGGGGGAGCTCCCAGGGGGCGAACTGGACATAAAACCGTGGTGTATGCTTCCGTTCCCGTTACCGTTGCCATTCCCGTTGCGGTAGGCCCAAAGCTTGGGGGTGTTCTCGCTCCGCGAGCCCGCGTTCACTGCGCTCACCATCGCGATCAAGACTGCCGCTCGGCACCCACCGCCGAATGCGAGACAATACACCGGGACCAAAGGTTTTCTACCTTATCTTATCACAAGGGTCAGCCTCGGAACAGAGCTACTATCGATGTCTCGAATTTCGATACTTCGCCTCATGCGTGACAAAGTCTCCAAGACATGCAATTTACGAGTGTGGTCTATGACATCACCTAATCGCAAGATTGTAGTACGAATTCAAAGAAAATGTGGGCACGAGGAAAGAATCTGAAGACTACGAAGAAGTAGCCAAAGATTGGAGCTTTTAAATAAAATCTTTGATTTGAGCAATTTCGAGCTTTTGCGGTCATCAATAGTCAAATCCGACCATTCACCACTGCGTATTGAAATAACAAAAAGAACATGGAGGAAAAAATTGAAACATTCTTCTCCTTATATCATCTGCGGTTATCTTGAGAAATAAAATATGAAAAAGTAACTCACAGTACGAAATTGCCTGGAGTTCACAAACATAAGCTATTTCCGAGGCAGGCTTCCAAATTTTAGCGACTTATATGACTTTCAAACTCTATTCTCGAATTTTTGAAAGGAATGGATACAGGGAATGGATACTTTACGTCCCCATTGCGTTGGAGAGCCAAAAAGAAATGGAAAAGAGTCTCTGTGCTCACTGCAACTCATGAAGCTTCCAAGTTTCAGTATAAATTTTAAGGCAAAAACGTTGAGGTGTACATTGATTCCTATCAGTTCACCTACAGGGTGAGCGGATAGTCCCCGACCCCCCCCCCCCCCTCTGACTTCTGAACGCATGCACGTATAAAAATGAAATTTAGGGGATGCTTCTAGATCAATAAGAGCTATTTTTCTTTTTTGGCAAATCCAAAATTCTGGTAGAGCGCTCCTTCCGCGAGGGGCGCACATTAACTCGAGATTTTCAAAAAGTAACCCCCTTTTTGTATTACATCGTTGAAAAGGTAATCAATGAAGAAAATTTTTTGGTGGAAACCAGAGGTCGCTACGACTTTTTGTTCTCGAGTTATCCTCGGTCAAAGTTCAAAATAGGCCTGTTTTAAAAAAATCATAAGTCCTGTTTAAAAAGTCGCAGAAAGGCAAACAAGGCGGCAAAATTCTCGGCATTGCAAGTACTTTCAGGAAAAAAAACGTCGAAAACCTTATCGTCTGCGTCCAGTGTGATTTTAGCCCCCCTCCCGCGATTGTCTGTCTCTCTTGCGGGAGGGGCGGCCCAGTTCACTCGAGACGGAAGCAAGTACCTTTTCGGAGGTAATAACTCAGCTACCTGACGGAGCCCAGGCTATGTGGAAAGGGCGGAGCCCCCCCCCCCCCCGGTCCCCTCCCTTCTGCAGAAGAATGAATAGTTTTGATTAAAGCCTTCGACGTAATTTTCAGTGCAGTTTTACCTTCCCTTACATTAGGTGCTCAAATTGGAAAATCGACGGTGCTGAACAAAACTAAAAATTTAGTAAAATGTAAAAAAAATTGAACCTAACAAAATCCTGAAATCGAAGGCTCTAATCAAAACTATTCATTCTTCTGCAGAAGGGAGGGGACGGGGGGTGGGGGTTCCGCCCTTTCCACATAGCTTGGGCTCCGTCAGGTAGCTGACAAGGGGAACTTACGGACCTGCCGCCTCCGATTGGGCTGAATTTTTTTTTACAGACTCTATGGACCAATTCTAGAGGTTAAGTTGAGCCGTTTTCCCGAATGCGCAATAGGAAGGGCGTAAAAAATTCCCAAAAGTTGCGTTTTCGGCGTGTGATTTGGTCGTGCGGCGCGTGGCAACACTGAAGCAGCCTCTTGTACCGCTTTATCGGCCTGAAGGTTTCAGCGGAGTCCGTAGCCCTACTGCACACGTACTGGCTCCATCATAGTGATGTCCCGGGTTCGATCCTCGACTTTTTATTTTCCGCATGATCACGTAACATTTTATTTTTAATTCTTCATCCGCATTTATGAATCAAGCAGTTCCAATCACTATCCCCCCCCCCCCATTTTACGTACATTTTCCCCCGATATTTATTCACATTGACCACATATAATCGTATGAAACTTCATTGACAAAAATTAATGAATTAAAAAGCAAAGGGCTAAAATAATGTGTTTCTTGGTGACCCTTGCGTACACATGGGTTTGGGGTTGCTCTTCGATTTATTTACACATTACATATTTTTCCAGGAAAACATTGGGAGATAATGTAGTAACAAATAAGGTTTTCTTTTGCTTTTTAATTCATTAATTTATATCAATGAAGTTTCATATGATTATATGTGGCCAACGTGAATAAATATCGGGGGAAAATGTACGTAAAATGGGGGGGGGGAGGGATAGTGATTGGAACTGCTTGATTCATAAATGCGGATGAAGAATTAAAAATAAATTGTTACGTGATCATGCGGAAAATAAAAAGTCGAGGATCGAACCCGGGACATCACTATCATGGAGCCAGTACGTGTGCAGTAGGGCTCCGGACTCCGCTGAAACCTTCAGGCTGATAAAGCGGTACAAGAGGCTGCTTCAGTGTTGCCACGCGCCGCACGACCAAATCACACGCCCAAAACGCAACTTTTGGGAATTTTTTACGCCCTTCCTATTGCGCATTCGGGAAAACGGCTCAACTTAACCTCTAGAATTGGTCCATAGAGTCTGTAAAAAAAAATTCAGCCCAATCGGAGGCGGCAGGTCCGTAAGTTCCCCTTGTGAGTTATTACCTTCGAAAAGGTACTTGCTTCCGTCTCGAGTGAACTGGGCCGCCCCTTCCGCAAGAAAGGCAGTTAATCGCGGGAAGGGGGCTAAAATCACACTGGGCGTAGAGACGGTTAGGTTTTCGACGATTTTTTCCTGAAAGTACTTACAATGCCGAGAATTTTGCCGACTTCCTGCGACTTTTTGAACAGGACTTATGATTTTTTTTTAAACAGGCCTATTTTGAACTTTGACCGAGGATAACTCGAGAGCAAAAAGTCGTAGCGACCTCCGGTTTGCGCCAAAAATTGTCTTCATTGATTACCTTTCCTACGATGTATCACAAAAAGGGTGTTACTTTTTGAAAATCTCGAGTTAATGTGCGCCCCTCCCGAGAGGAGCGCTTTCCCAGAATTTTGGATTTGCCAAAAAAAAAAAAAAAAAAAAAAAAAAAAAAAAAAAAAAAAAAAAAAAAAAAAAAAAAAAAAAAAAAANGGGGGGGGGGTCGGGGACTTTCCGCTCACCCTATATATTGTGTTTTTAATTCTATGCTTCCATTTTCGACTTTTTATCGTAGGACAACGATGCACAGTCGATTCTACCCTTTAGTGTTTCTTAGATAATTCGGGGAGGGGGAACACAAGAAAAATTCACCATAACATCGGAAATCTGCCAGAACAAAATATTGAAAAACGGAAAGGAGCCAAAAATCAAGGAAACTCAGTGTCTCGGTGTAAACGACCGTCTCTTGGTTCGCACCGTTCAATGCGGTTCTCAGAACGATAATAATAAACTGATAAAACTTGAATTTATCGAGACTCGATCCGCCGCAATTATAGGCTCAATATACCTATTCATTCATTAAAAAAGTAATCACGGGGACATGGATTTACGCAACGCTTAGCCTTACAGAGAGTGGTGAGGGGGAGGAGGGCGAACTGGCGCTAGATTACACTAACCTGATTTACCCCTGGAACTTTGATCGAATCGGTGTAGAATAGACAAAAGCCTTTTTGTTTACAAACAAATCAAGGCGAGCTCGTGCTGCCGAAATGTAAATCTTGCAAGCAGACGCGTTGTCGCCCAAAGTACGGGCCAAGGACAAAGTTGACTCGTCGGTAACTCGGTGCGAGTGGTGTGGGTTTTAAGAGGGAACAATATTGTTGAGTTTTAAGGAGAAATCTCATTCTTTTCTTTGGTACTTGACGTGGCTAAAATGATGTTCCGGAAAAAGCAGTGAACCATAGCAAATTCAAAATAAAGTAAGTCTGTAAATTGCTGGTGATGAGAGTCCCTGAGTTGCGAAGAGTTTTTGGTGAATGAGACCGCTGGTGAAATGATGCCGCTAAATAGAGGTTTCCGCTATGAAGAGTGCTGTTATAGGGTGAGAGTACTGTAAACATTTTCTTTTTCTTCTTCTTCTCTTTTCTTGAGCACCAGGATTATAGGTTGGCACTTATCTTTTTAAATCGACCAAACCAAATTTTGCACGGTCTTAAAAGGTTCTGTGTGATAAAAAAACACGGTAGCCAAGAGGATTTTCCACAAAAAAAAAATTGGACTCGGCGCGGACTGAGCCTAAACGTCGAAATTTTTCCGGCTTTTTTTTGGCATTTTCGCCGTTTATACATATGTCTCTTTGACCTTCAGCGAAATACCTAGTGCCTGGTTTTTGGTTCATTTTCGGATGTTTCAAAAATCGTTGTGTTTTTTAGCCAATCATGTCTCTCCGTCAGGGTGTGTAGAATTCTAAAATTCGCTTTCCGCGAGTTTTTTTTCTCTTTGAGATGTCGTGTCTGACTGGTAAATCTGCGCAGAATCACCGAAAAACGAATTTAGGCCAATTCTTTTTTTTTTTTAGATGTTCTGATTGGTTATTTTTCGCCATAAATTTTCTGTTCGTTGGTGCAAACGATCCCCTTCCTCGTTGCTCTTGAGAAGCCGCCATTATCCCACTTCAAATTTTAAAAATAAAAATAAAGAAATAATAATCATCGCACAAGGTGGAACATTGCTCTGGAGGACTCGTTACGGGCAAAGGAGTCAAAGTCAGAACTCGATTGATTGATTTAATTCATGGATACGCAAATATTGCCTCAGCTCAACTGCCGCGATCGCGAATGCATGCTGGGATGAAGCTCGAGACACATGAGAGCATGTGAGGACATATATGTAACAATAGCGGTCGCTGATATCCGCCATTTTTAGGGCAAACGCTTTTTAGTCTCCCAGTGATCAACTGGGGATAACTTTCCTATCACTCTTGCCGTTTCCTTTATGTAAAAATCTCGAAAAAAATCGATCGCTAGTGGGGTTTTGCCGTGTTTAAATGGGGATTTTTATGGCTATC